ATGGTCCTTAAATCCTTCATATTAAACTTTCTATATATGCCAAAATAAGTAAATGCACATGTCCATTTGATTCGTCATAGTCGATAATCTCTGATGAATTTGTCACAGTTTTTTTCTTGTGTCACTTTTTCAAGAAGAAAAACTTGATTTTTCTATTCCACTCCATCGATTTAAAAAATATAATATAAATGATATGATGAGAATAGTTCCGGATGGTATCAATAATTTTTTTGCAGCTCTTTTTTTTCTATATACATTTAAATTGAATCTTTGAGAGAGATCATTGTCATTCGAACCATTGTATCCACAATAATTGGGTGGATATTTCAATTCATTGTTAACAACAACAAATTTTTCATTTCGAATGGAACAATATTTTCCTATTGGATAATCACCTAAAGCGCATCCATTTGTTTCGATGAAGTTTATTTCTAACAATTGCTCAGCTCTAGTGATAAAATCCAAATAACGATTAAGATGAATTTCATCTTTTATAGAAATATCATACGATCGATACGGATCATTATCCTCTACAAGATGAGAGCAATCAACTCGTTTACTTGAGAGAACTTTATCTGTAGAAGGATCATAATTATATTTCATTGTTGTTTTATTTTCAACCAATGTTAAGTATTGAAATATGTAAACGGTAATTTCTCTTCCTTTCATTTTTTCTGGCCAACTATTTTCATAATCTTTAAAATTGTCGGGATATGCGGCTTTTAAACCATAGGGTAATTTCATTTGAAAATATAATTGTGAGAGTAAATTAAATGCTTGAGGTAAATGTTGTTTCTGAATTGAAAAATGAATTTTCCAGTCAGGTAGTAAGTAGTTGCATGATGCTTGAGCTACCCAGTATTTTCTACCAGTCATAGTGAATAACCTGACAAAACTATTATTAGCACCTAAATAATATCCAGCACAATACAACATTTTATTTTCCAATAATAAACGGTGATAGTCAAAATAAAATTCATCACTGTCTTCATCCTTTAAGTATAAACTCATTATTTCAAAGTTTTATCTGAAACAAATTGTGCGTCATCAACGATTAATAAACTATCGGTTTTGAAACAATGTTTACCATGGATATGTTGCGCAATAGCATTTGATAAAAACGAGATAATGATCTACAGATTTCTCCAACAATCCATAGAGGAAATCCTGAGACATTTTTTTCTCATAAAAAGTAAAGATCAAAGTTCTCGCTTTCATCAATACGGTTTCAAGAAGATCTTTGGAAAACGAGGGCAGATTACATTATTATTATAATTTCCAACAGAGACTCGTGTCGTGGCAGATTTCCCACATTTCAGACAACGTCCAGAAATTGACGTTTTCCCGTTGAATTGTGGAAGTATTTCTTCACAGCTATTAGATCAAAGGTCTGAGTGGTTCTAACAAATGAATTCCAAGAAATAAACAGAATTTGATAGAATTCTAGGAAATGTATAGAATTCTATGTGACTACGTGACTACAGTTACATAGAATCGGTATTTATTTTGTTTTCTTCAAGTGAGAAATAATCTGAAATGTACAGAATTCTACGTGACCGCTGATTTTCTTTTGTACTAAAGAATATTTTTGTCATTAAAGCCATAATTTCGAAACTGCAGATCAATTCCGCTACAAAATCAGAAATTCCGGCGGAATATCAAGAGAATTTCACGTGGAATTCCTACTTTAGTAAACTATATTTTATGTGACTGGGAGCGAAGGTGGGCTCGTGGAGAGTAGAGACAGAGAACCCGATCCGAAGGTTTGGTGGATTTTTAAGCGTAAGTCGGTTTACGGGTACAAAGTTCTCAGGTCGTGCCGGGTACGGATGGAAAAACAATTTTCGGATCTGATGCAGGTACGAAAATGGTAATGCGCATCTCTAGTGGAGAGCATGAGAGGGAGTCACTAAATGACATTTCAGCTTGTCCCTCACTTGGAGAACACAGAGTGTAGTCACATTGAATTCTGTACATTTTCTCGAATTGTATTAGGATGTCTCGAACATTGGTAAATAGAAATTTATGAAAATCTACATAAACTGCCGGAAATGTAGGAACTCTGACATCCTTCGACTCACGTCCCTGTTTTTCTTTTTTCAAAGCATGTGACAAACCTAGCGAAAAAGCAGTTATGATATAATAATTCACTCTTACCTATTCTTTCCAAATATTAACAATATCGCATCCTGCTAAAAATAACCATCAAATGACTTGAAAATCTATAATCTCGACTTGCTGTGGCTGTTACTATCGAGTATTTATATGCGATAGCATCAGTCACAACAAAATGAGTCTATACCAAAATTTTCAAGTTATGCCATGATGTAAAAAGCCGAACATATGACTCACTCTTATTCTAAAGAAAACACTTCATACTGTCTGCGTATGTGTAAGCTGTAGATCTTAATTTCTTTTCTGTCGAACACTGTTCAGACAACATCCACAGGTACTATGTTTTCCAACGAATAGTAGTTTTCATTGTGCTTTCAAACAAACAGTCATCCTTCCCTAAACATGTTTTGTTTAAGAAGGTGTAGAATGTGACTAAAGGTATGTTAATCAATTAACATACTTTGGCACAATAACAACTAAAAAACGCAGAATTTCTTTTTGTGATGGACTGTAAGTAATATAACGATTTTATTTCTATGACTAAGAAAATAATTCATACACTTAAAATTTTATTCACACACGACTGTCAGCACAAGTTTATCTTTCTATGTATGAGTCACCAGAGTATGACTTCGCGTTGTGCAATTAGTAATACGTGTCGTTTCTTTCTTTAGTTATTTTTCTTTCTATATGGCGTGAGTACTACTTACGCCATATAGAAAGAAAAATACTTACTAAGTAGTGCACTTCTAACAACCAAAATCCAACTGATTTATTATACGGTTTGAATAAAAGTAAAATTGATTACAACTGAATTTTCACTGAATATAAATGGGAGATTACATCAATTGATGTCTTAAAAATGAAGAATTTTTCGAAAACATCCATGGATTATAGTTTAAACAAATAGACACCAAACATATTGACGGAGTTTAAACAAATAGATACCAAACATATTGACTGCTTAGGCATGACGATAATTTTAGAGTATGTGCTCATTATCCTTCATAGATAAATGGAATTTTTATGAATATACAAAGGTGACAGTAATCTAAAGATCAAATGGATTTTTTTTCTGATTAAATAGAGCTCGTCGAGCTACTTAAGAGAACATTGGCTTCATTTTTCTTTGTAGTCCAGCCACTTGTTCGAGGGGTATTCCGAGTGCTCGCTGCTCCCCTCAAACGCCTTTTTCATCTGTAAGAGAGGTGCCAGAAATTATTCGAAAATTCAGAGGTTTTTATTTTTACATTTTTTATACTTGGTTGGACGTCAAGCTTATTCAGAAAATATGTTTTTTAATTCGAAAAAATTATTTTAATGTTTTAAAATTGAAAATCTTTAAGGGTCTAAATTTTCGAAAAGCATTTCGGTTTCAAAAAATTAAAATTTTTGTCGTTTTCGTTCTTCAGACATTTTGAAAGTATTTTTTACATATACGAATCTTTTCAGCATATATCGAATATACTCAAAAAACTCGATTTTCGATGGTATGTGGTGGTACTGCTTCTGAATTCATGCCCTATACTACCAGCTTACTCGATTCCGCATGTTCCGTGTGAAGTCATTAAATACTAGTCCTAGGGCTCCATGAAACACGATTACTACGGCACAACTACTTGAAATCAAGGTCTAGCTTTACTCTAATTTTTAAGAGCACACTTTGCGACTTCACATAACGCACAGCGAAAACCGCACTTGCCTATATCTTTCCATTAAAAAGTTATTCAAAAAATATTCAGCTGCATTACATTATGAAAGGCATAGTTAGCTTTGTTAAAGAAAAAGCTCAAAGGATCAGTGGACGAGTGAATGTTTGTTTCGCTTAAACTGTATGTGGTTCTCTGCAGTTGCCATTTGTCAATCT